TTATTATTAATATTTAATGATTTGATATTAATGATTTAGTAATGATTAGTAATAATGAAATTATTATTAATATTTAATGATTTGATAGTAATAATTTAGTAATGATTAGTAATAATGAAATTATTATTAATATTTAATGATTTGATATTAATGATTTAGTAATGATTAGTAATAATGAAATTATTATTAATATTTAATGATTTGATATTAATGATTTAGTAATGATTTGATAGTAATGATTTACGACTTGAACAATGAACAATGAACAATGTTTGGTTCAATTAACCATATTTTCGTTACATAACTAGTAATGAAATTATAATAATGATTTGATACTAAAATCATTATAAATATGTCGAATTTGTTAAGGTTTGAAAAAACGAGTCTAATTTCAATATTAAATTTGTAACAAATAACAAACTAGTTTACAATTATTGCCGATGTCGGGGTGTTGTTGAATGATAATGTTGAGGCGGACGTCTGATGCGTTGTGGCCGTTGTGGTTGCTCAGGAGTATGGTACCCATCCTCCTCATTCATTGGGGGCATTTGAACTGATATGTGTTCAAAGTCATACGTCGACGAAAACATGGGAGAGTAGATGGATGCATCAGGCTACACAAACTCTGGTATGTATGCATCGCCGAACGATTGTAGTGCGCTATTATCCACATCGGTCATTTTCGCTTCAGGTTGTTGAGATGAACTCCTACTCCCACTTGGTAGAGAGTATTCAGCTTTACCAAATCTTTTCTTAAACCTCAAAAATTATCGTCTCTCTACAATTGTTGTCAAGAATGGCTTTCCATTATCCAAAAAATAAGCAAGGACATGAATGAAGCCCTATTGTTCCAAGCATTAATGTAGGTTGCATGCTTCTCAACCCAATTAACATTTTCTTTACGACGACCATCAAATCTGTGCAGCTGGTCATGCGTCTCAACCCAATTCACCTGACGACGACCATCTAAGATTTGGAGGAGGTCATGATCCCATGGACTCCGCGGAATAGGTTGGTGGAAGTGGAATTGCCTCAACACTCTATCCCCAAATTGGATCTCAACAAAAGCAAAATTGATCAATGGTGTAACATCACACCAATATTGAAACCCATCTAAAATATCGTACGGTATCAACGCAAGTATTTCTTCATTCATGTATGGTCTCCAATTAAACTGTAAAATTAAAAAAACAATAAAATTTATTTAAATCAAATAATATAGTTAATTTAAATAATAATTAAAAATAACAGATTATACATACCTCCTTTTTTGCCTTAATGTCGATCTTCAGCCTGAACTCTTTAATGTTATTGTGCACCAACCCCGTGCCTTCAATTTTATGCCTCCATCTGTATATCAATCAAAACAAAAATATGGTCATTTTTATTTTATAATTAATATTTTATATTAAAATAGAGAATTCATATTACCTTCCGGCAAGCGGAAAGTCAACCGCTGTCCGACTAATCGGTGTCAGAAACGGAAGTCTATGCCAAGCCCATGACTGTAGCAGCAATAGACATCCACCGATTTCTGCTGTATTATTATCATTCACGACTAATGACGCCTTGCACATCTCACGATACAAGAACGCCAATATCGTCGATCCCCAGCTATATTGCCTACTATTCTCAAATTTTCTTAAAAAAAGAAGATACTGAGTGTGAACATAACTACCGGATTTATCCGGCATTAAAATACCCCCAATCAACTGTAATATATATGCTCGTGTTGCATATATAATTCCGTGCTCCGTACTATTTGGTTGAAGCTGAAATTCATTCTTCAACCATGACAACCTCACACGCCACCCTTTACACTCTGGTGGTACGGGCGTTTTCCCAAGAAACACGCTATAAAGTTGCACCACATTATTAAACTCATGTGACATTACCACTGGCATCCCATTTGTTTGGACCCCGAGTTGCAATGCCACATCCTCCAGAGTTATCGTACATTCGCCACACGACAAATGAAACGTGTGCGTTTCTGGTCTCCAACGCTCAATCAAGGCACTGATCAAACCTGGGACCAACTTGTAATCTCGCACAAATGTTACATACCAAAATCCAGACTCCTGCAAGTTTTCTTCTATCAATCTGTGTGGCTTGGGCACTTTATGTAGCCGAAGACGAAGGACTCGCTGCTCGTCCTCCTGCAATTAAATATTTCAAAAATTTATCACAATCATAAATAATATTCAAATATTTATTAATTATAATCATTAAACAATATTTATTCACCATTATTCCCAAATGACTTGAAATATGTTCATTGTCAAGCCTCAACAGTGGAATTTGGTCAGCCATTAGAATGAATCTGTAAAAAAAAATAAACAACAATATTTAAAAAATTATTTAATATAATCTAATATAAACTAACTAACTAATTTACAACACTAAACTTTAATATAATAACTTATAATATAATAAACTAATAAACTAACAAACTAAATTTTTTAAATATAAGTTAAACGTAAACGCTAAACCCTTAACAACTAATAAAATATTTTTATATAACTAAAACTAGTAAACTATTTTTTCATTATAATATACTACTAATAAACTTACTAACTAATTTTTTATATAATATAAATTCAACAAACAAATACAACTTAACTATTTAACTACCACAAACTAATTAAATAATTTTTTTATATAACTAACGATTAACAAAACAAACTAATTAATTATTTTTTAACTATATAACTATCAAACATACTAATTAAATATTTTTTTATTTATGTATAATATAACTTAAACTAACAATCATATAACCCTAAATTAACAAACTAATTAATTAATTTTTGTTTTATCATAAACCCTAAACTAACAAACTAAACATTTATAATAATAAACTAATTTAAATAAAAAGAATTACCTCAGAAGAGCCTTATCTCCCCTTCTTCTTCTTCCTTTCCTTTCTCCCTTTCTTTCTTTCTCGGCTGCAATTTCTTCTCCCTTTCTTCTGCTGCAATCTCTTCTCCCTTTCTTTCTTTTATGTTCTCACGATAATGCACACCCCATATATAATTTAGGTGTCACCGACTACCTCAATTATTTCACCAATAATTGTGCAATTACAGCTATGATAGCAGCTGATTTCACTCTGCAATGGTTCAATAATTGCACCAATAATTCACGGCTCAAATGGTTCACATGCATGCATTGCTGCATGAAGCAGGTGATTTCACGCTGCAATTGCAGCTATGATAGCTGCAGGCATGCAGCGGGAGTAGGAGGGGAGCACGTGAAGGAATCTCAGTTGGCTAAGCTTGGTCGCCGGGACTTCTTGGCGACCTACAAGGTCGCTGGGAGTGCATGGCGACCTTGTAGGTCGCTGGGAGTGCATGGCGACCTGTGTTAGGGTGTTGGGGACGTGCATGGCGACCTGTGTTGGGTGTTGGGGACGTGCATGGCACATGCAGACGTCCATTATCTCTGTGCAGCTCCCGGGAAGCCATGGCGACGTAGTAGGTCGCCCGGAAGGCATGGCGACCTACGGCCACACTGTGAATTTCACCCTATTTCAACAAATAATATGGAGAGTGCATTAGATCGTGAATTATTTATTTTAAAAGTATTATATCGTGAGTTTAGCCTATCAAATATATATAATTTACCGTTTACGGGACAACAAAACTCAATTTCATATTTTTCTCTCTGCCACGTGACAAATATCAATGATCAACTACTGCTAAGAGAATAAATATAGTTGACAATGGGTTGCAGTCAGAAATCAGACAGGGATGTGAGACCATTTCAGATGTTGTCTTCATGCATTTTATAGTATTTGTTGGAAATTTCCTTTCACATAACTTGGTAAATTTTCCAGAAAATTTTGGAAATTTCGAGACGTTTACTTTTCCTTGTTTGGCAAGCGATAGCCTCAATACCTTACATAAAAATAAGTGTCCAAAATATTAAAGTTAATTTTAATTGTTTAAAAAATTCATTAAAAATAGATGTTTAATGTTTATAATATTATATATTTAAGTAATTATGTCGTAACGACCGTTAAAAAAATGTTAAATGATACATCTCACATTTATATATTTTTAAAATTTTTATTTAATTTTTTTTCTAAAAAAATATTATTAAAAGAATTTTTTTCTGAAATTACAAAAGACCCCAAAAATATTCTAGTCCCCAAAAACTCAAACCTTAAATTCCCTAATCATTCCCGCTGCCAGTTACCACTAACGTTGCCGCCAACGGAAACACCAAAATTTTTAACTCTAAATTTAATGGGAGAATTTAGATGGGTTTCTACTTGAATTTAAGGTTTTACAGGGATGAGATTTTGCAACGGTTAATACAATCGGAATTTGGCGACTTTCACTGTTTCACAGCTCTGTGAGGAGGCGCGGTTTTCTTTGGGGAGAGGGGTCGATCAGGATTTTGACTTTTGACTGCTTTCATTTGGAGGATTTTCATTAGTTCAAAGTTGGGGAGGGATGGCTCAGCAGCCGGTGGGGGTGGGATAGTTGTCTGGCTATTAATTTTTGTTTTAATAATAAATTGAGTTTTTTAATAAATATTTTTAATTATTATTACGGTATAAGTTTGTCTCTTTAAAAAATATTATATAATTATTTTCAATAAAAAATATTTACGTACTTAAAATTAATTTTAAATATAATTTAAATATTTATTTTTATATTAGATCAAATTTAAACGATTAAGAATTATGGTTTGACACGTATTTAAAGGTTTTAAAATGATCTTTCTCTTGTATATCAATTTAAAAGATTAAGAGTGTTGCATTTAACGAAGGTTTCATGTTTGAGAAGTGTGTACTTTTGAAACACGGTAAAGAAATAATAAAATACGTGATCACTGTAGCGCATAACAAAACTAAAAAGCAATCGCAAATGAATTGATATCGGATCTCATTTTTATTTACAATAAACCAAAGCAAGTCGACGGCGAAAATACAGTATCTTCGGGAGGAAAAACCAAAAGAAAAAACCCCCAAAACATTGAACTGTGAACCCTCATCATTTGACTGTAGACGCAACAGTATGAGCCCACCACCTCAGGCTGTCCTTCATGTCAATTTCATTATCCACATCAGGCACTCTCCAATTGATCGAAGGGTTTTTCTTTATTCTTCTTCTTCTTATTCTTCTAGTTTCTGCAACCTCCCATGTTTCTGATAGATACGGCCTTGAAACTTCAGCCCTATCATCATCACCACCACTTTCTTTAATCTCTTCCTGGCCCTCTACTTTCTTTCCCAATCTCTGCAACCCTGGGATTATCTCCACCAACCTCGAATCCTTATTATCTTCCTCCGAGAAAACAAAACCCAGATCCATAAACCCTTTTAGCTCCTCGAATTCCAAGTCTGGCAGGCTCTTACTCCAACCCTTTCTCCTTCTACTAATCATGCTTGCTACCCCCTTCTTTCTGGGTTCCTGGACCATGTTACTGTTGTCTTGCAGATCTTCTTCCGTAACTTCTTTGCCCGAGATGATTTTATGGAGCTTTGGCGAGTGGAGAACTGAGTCGGGTGAAAACGAGCCGGTGCCCATGAAGCTTGTGCTGATTAAGCTCATCTGGTCACTCATGGATCTCGTATGGAGAGTTGGGGTGCTTGTTAACTCGGGTTCTGATGAGTTTTCTTCAACTCGGGGGTCTGGGTTTGGTTCAGATCCCGTAGAAGTTGATGGACATGTCCGTTTCTTAAGTACTTCCATCTCGAACCAGCATGAATCAACCAGCTTAATGATTTCCTCTGACTCCATTAAAGGCAACTCAAATAAACAGTAGAGATATTACAATAAATCTGAATTTTGCTAGGCTATGAATTAATTCACAACTTAATCCTTTATATATAATGTATGGTTAGGCCAACACTGTGGAAAAAAAAGCCCTTAACGCCGTTAAAAAAAACACAAACAAATCAACAGAAGAAACGAACACACGTTTTCCACTGGGTAGTATAGTAATAAGAATATAAAATATTAAATGTTTTACTTTTATGTGTGTTTTGTGGTTTTAATAAGAAGCAAAAAAGAAAAAGACGGAATTATTGCGTGTGGTGGAATTTGAATTTGTACATTTATTATTAGTGCTGTGTAGAGGCTACTAGAACTGGATAATCCCAATACACTGTTCGATAATATCTTGTCTTGGCAATATTTTTGTCTTAAATTTATAATATTATAATTATTTTTATAATTGTAACATCTAATTAATTCAGTTAAGCATTACAATATTATTATACAAATAATTTTAAATTTAATTTTTATTCATTTTATTAAAATTAAATTAAAATTAATAATTTAATTCAATGTACTAATATTTTTACATCTTATTTTTCTTTAATCGCGTTTTATATAATAATTGATATCACAATTTGGCGTTTTTTCTGATATATCATATTTTTTATTTAATTTTTTCTGTCAGACACCCTTCAGACTATTTTTCCTGATCTAACACACTTTGCAGTAAGGCGTGTCCCCTGCAGCGCACTTGACGTTGATCTGGCGCCACGTGAGGTAAGGCGCGCCCCCTGAAATGCGCCTTATGCTAACTGGATACACGTGTGTAAAGCACAGTGCAGGAGCCGCTCCGCGCCTTATCTACAAATCTGACACGCGTTAGAAAGGCGCGCGGGGCGCGGCCCCTACGACACGCCTTAGGTTTAATTACCTACCTACCCCGACCGTTCACACCCCATCCCTCCCTATAAATACCCCCATCCTTAATCACTTTCATCACACCAAATCTTCTCAACTTCCCTCAACTTCTCTAAACATCTCTCAAATACTTTTATATTATCTGTTTAAGGTATATTTTATTATATTTAATATTTAATTTATTTAAGTATTTAAATTATTTAATATTATATTTAATTAATTTTTTTACAGATATAAAATGGAAGGTGGTTTGTTTCGCTTGGATAGAAATCATATATCTCGACATTTTGCTGATACGGTAACATTTTAACGTTTTAATTTAATTTAAATTAATAGTAATAATTTATTTATTTATTTAATGCATGATTATTAGTTTAAAAATTAATTTTTGTAATTATTTATATTTTAGGAGAGAGATCGTATATTATATCCTTTTATTAGGAACCTTAAGTTAGTGATATCTGGCCGTTTCATGTCGTATTTAGTAAAGGCTGGATTCGGTCACATAGGTAGATATGAGGGTCACTGTAAGATAGAACCAGACCTTATTGCTGCCTTAGTGGAGCGGTAGAGGCCGGAGACCCACACATTCCATCTTCCGTGCGGAGAGTGCACGATTATACTTGAGGATGATTCTATGCACCTGGGGCTTCCGGGGATGGAGATGTGATATCGGGGATGACGCACTGTTCATGGACTGCTTTGTGTCGGGACTATCTAGGACGTGTCCTGGAAAGTTTTAACGGTGGTTGGATACTGTTAAATTAGTTAGATGTCAATTTTCAGGAGTTGAGCTAGGACGCCTCTGATATTGAAGTTAAAATGTATGCACGGGCATGCATACTGCAGCTGATAGGAGGGTTACTGATGCCGGACAAATCGCGCAACCAAGTTCACTGTATGTGGTTGCGACATCTTGGCGACTTTCATATGGACGGATCACTCAGTTGGGGCTCGGTAGTTTTGGCTTTCCTGTATAGGGAGATGTGTCGCGCGATTGACTATTGAGGTAATTATAAAACTGATTTCGTATATTAATCATTTTATACAGTGTATAATAATTTTTTCCTTGAATATGTGGTCTACTGATAGAAAAAATCATCAGGAGCTACCTGATGATTTAGAAAAAATGATGGTGCTAATCGATCAGAAGGCTGGCACACAGGTATGCCTTTTAATGTTTAAAAATCGATTTTAGATTATAGTTATATAATTAGATTATTATTTTGATAAAAATTATATATATTTGTTTTATTTTGAATGAGTTCCATATTCTAATGATGATGTGAGGATGGTGATCCCACCTGAGTTGAGGGGCCATTAGATGTTTGGATGATGATGGTCCCTTTGATTTGTTATGCGATCGTCGAGTGGCACTCCACTGATCGCATGCTCCGGCAATTTGGTTATTTTCAACCAATTCTAGAAGCACCTCGCAATATGAACGAGTTGCATAGCACAAATAGACGCGACAAGACCTATACAGATTGGCTGGTGAGGCATCACGAGTGGGTCGTGCTGTGGGAGGATCGACATCGGCGCCTTCCCCGTAGAGAGCGCATTTTTACTGACTTCTTGATGGTTGCTGAAGGTTATTACGAGTGTTTTAACACTAACGGGAAACCGTTTCTACTTTCCGAGGATGCACGAGGGAGGACCTTTCAGTAACGTCGACAGAGACGTTCACCGACACAGCACCATCGTCCCCCGACTCGTGGACAGAGAGCAAGTGCTTCCGGTTCATCCTCAGTTGCACTAGTAGGACCTTCACAGTAGCCACCGTCTACAATGACTTACCTTCCGCATCCATATGTGATGCCGTCATCCCCATTCCCTTACTCGATGTCACCGTCGCCACTGTCACCTGGTTTTATGACCCCCCCCCCCCCCGCCGCCGTCACAGAGTTTTATGACCCCTCATGGAGGACATTATGGGTCTATGTTTGTAGATCTGACTTGGGGTTCATATGCCCATATTTTAGCGGGTTCAGCCTCATCACTCATGGCCGCAGCACAAACACCTCCTGTACAGTTTTCACACTCAGCGATGTCTGGGTTTTATGAGTTTTCGCAGGCCGGTGGGATAGTCAGTCATACACCTCCAGGGTCCTTATTCTATGAAGGTGCTTCATCGTCATCAACTTCTCATCAACCTAATGTAGTTGTTCACGACGACAATGACGACGATGGTGATGATGATGACAGCGAGGAGTCACAACCATTAATACGAAGAAATCCTCCTCAAGACCGACAACCACCGCCCTGCGGAACACATTCGCGTCGCAGGCATCGATAGATTTTATTTTTTATATTTGTATTTAGTTGTTTATTGGACTTTTTTATTGTATTTTTTTAATTATTTATCATTTAATACTTATTTTTTTTGTTAATGTGGTTGGATTTATTTTAATTTATTTTGTTAAATTTGTTATACAGTTTTGTTAATGTATTTTGGTTAATTTTGTTTATTACCATTTAATATCAGTTATTATTATTTGGTTATCATTTACCATGTAATTCTTTTTGTAAGTTTGTTGTATTTAAAATTATGTTCAAATACCAAATTGTTATTAGTTTTATAAAATTTAATAATTATGTTCTCAAACTTTCTTCAATTTGTCACTTATTATATCTTTTATTATAATCACATATAACGCCAACGTTCAATCTCGTTTTCTTGTATCGTTTTTTTACTGTTCATATGCGGTTATCGAATGACATTAACTTTAAGTAAATGCAAATTAAAGTACAAGAATTATTATTTGATAAACAACTACATCATGTCCTCATCAATTGTTACTTGATGACAACAGAAGTGGACATGTTTTTCTAGTGTGTCCTGGGTTTCTACAATGCTCACATCTTATGTCTTGTCTAGATCTTTCTCGAATATCCATATCGCAATGAATTTAATTGGATTTTGGACGACCACGTTCCCTCAATAAACTCGGATTTGGTACAATCGGAAGCCAATCCTGAACCTCATCAGAGTCTTTGTCATTACCTATGGGGGAACTCAAATTCGTATACCTTATAAACTTTATATAGTAGGTATACGGGATCCACAAAACGGCTATAGTCTTGACGCGTATGCGAGCAAGCTGCTATCACATGAGAACATGGATAATTCAGAGCTTGAAAAAACCCGCAGTCGCACGTTCTTTCCCGTAGATTTACTCTTAATGACACAGCTTCAATCCCTTAAAGAGGTCGCGATAACTCTGTGACACAAAACATTTCACGCCTTCTAGAGAAGTCAGATACAAACATTCCATTTGATGCAAAAAAAAAATTTATGTAGATCTGCAACTAATCTAGGGTGATAGTCATGACCGCCTTGCATCCAAATTTGAGCTTTTCCCCCGAGCTTCGCAAAAAGTACCCCCAAACGAAAATATATAGTTTTTACCAAAGTCGCTACAGGTAAGTGATGTGCACCCTTTAAGGTTGAATTGACTGCCTCAACCAAGTTGGTCGTCATGTGTCCATATCGATATCCACCATCATATGTGTTCGTCTACATTTCTTTTTCGATGAGGCTGATATAATCATATACTTCCTCGTTCTTCACCCGTAAATCCTGAAGCATTGATTCAAACATTCAAGGAAGTAGTTCGTAACCTGATCAAAAAATGTATAACTACTAACTTGCTTTCTTTGCAAAAATAAAATAATCGAAAGAAAACAAACTACATCAGTTTCACTTACCCATGCGCACAATTAATTGACGCTCATCATTCTTCTTGTACCTTCCATGGTAATTCGCATCAATGTGTCGGAGACAATACCTATGTTGGACAAAGGGTGGTTACCACATTGGACCCAAAGACTCCATTGCTGCTTTGATCTCAGCTCCACGATCTAAAATGACACAGATTTTTTCCCTTGTGATAACATGTGCACGTAAGTTTCAGAGGAAAAAAGTCCAAGAATTTGTATCTTCTCCTTCGACAAGAGCAAAAGCAACTGGAAGAATGTTGCGATTTCCATCTTGGACAACTGTCAATAATAAAACTTGATTGTATTTTCTATACAAGAAAGCCTCGTCGATCTGGACCACAGGCTTGCAGTATTTGATAGCATTAACGCACTGTGGGTAAGTT